CTAGCCGAAAACGCCTTACACATCGCACGACCAATAAAAACCGGAGAACTGAGAGCGATGGACTCAAACTAGTCTGTCACTCCCACAAAATTTGCAGCTGCGTTGGCTGATGTGGGTGGTTATTTCATGAAGGACGTAAATAAAACCTGGCGAAATCCATCGTCGACCTTTGCGTCTGGGATCCGATGACCCATGGTGGCCATACCTCTTATTCTTAGGAGGTGGCTGAACAGGCACATGGCACCCTAACCTATCGCGCGGCCCATTTCCTCTGAAAGTAATGAAATGAACAGTGAAATGCCACTGCTGTGACGCATGTGCCGAGAAGACGACCCAATACGCGCTGGAACAATGGCCAGCCTGGAAGCAGCTGGGGTCACACTAAGAGCTGAGCTCCATCTTCGCGAGGTCGCACGGGGTGAAGAATTTGGTCGAAATAGAACACATTACGTTGGGCGGTTCTTGTGAATGGCAGGTTCCGCTCGCGGGTGCTATCGCGGCTGATGGCTAGCGGCGTAGGTGAGTTTTTCAAACTTATGTGGATCTCCACAATATTTTGAACATGTGCTTCCCGAGGTGCCATAATCACCAGTGCATTTGATGCACCGTGTGCGAGCGAAGTGATTGTGAGATTTCTGTCCGAACTGCTGATAATTGTAGCTTTGTTGCGACAATGTCTAATTTAGGTCGGAGCTCTTCCCGAATCCCCTCGAGCTTATACACTATTTTAATTTTGAAATAGTCTGTTCTTTCAAGTTTACGTCTGCAACGGTGAAGCCAAAAGGGACCCACACTGGGCGGTAGTTTAAGGCCGGTGCAAGTAGGCTTATTGAGCCCACTCTGGATCCGTGCAAGGAACTCCGGTGGGCAGATTGAGGATAGTAGAGCTGCAGCCAGTCTCCCTGTCCTTTGCAATGGAGTTGGGGTCGCAAGGGAAGTCGCAAGACTCTCCCCGTGTTGCGGTAGAACGCTATCCCTATAATAATCCGTGACTCCGTGAGACTCCGTAACCTCACTCACACAGAAGTGTAACACTTCCACTCTACACCGGTCTTCTGTGAGGTCATGGAACTAACCCGGACGGACCAGCCCATTCGTGCAACACTGTTGCGTGGCCCTACCACAGTTGCTTGTCGAAGAATATTGTGTAATTGTTTACCATTGACATCACGTGCCACCTTTATACATATGTATTTCATCATGTGCTTATCGGTGAAGGCTCGCGGTGTTCAAGTTATTTTAACTTGAACACCGCGAGCCGTCCTAATACCGTTTGATAAAAGAGATCTTTGACTTTACTTACTTTTTTATCGTTGTTATTGTTTAATAGCTTTTATTTTAAAAATGAGAACCTGGTTTACTAATTGTTACTAAATCAAGTATTATAAACAGAAAAAATAGTCGATGTCATAAAAGCTAATTCTTAAAAAACCAAGATCACATTAACTAGTACGATTGAGACAAATAAACATCTTTCTTTATATTAGAAGCAAAATTTTTATGTAAGTACTTATATTGTTTATTTTAATAGCTTTTGCAATGAAGTGTAAAGGTTGCAGAATATAACGCATAATTACAATCACGACCCGCCCCTATAATGCTTACCTTGGGAATAAAATTAGTGACAATGAAACCGAGCTGTTGTGACAATCTACATTTTGAAGATTTTGTGACATTATAAGTACGAAACAAGTTATGAATAGTCAAAACACTCATGTATATTTATTACCGGAATTTCAAATCGAGCTTTTTTATTTTTAGAAAGATGTTTCTGAATTTGGAGCGATGTGGATCTATTATAATCATCATTATTCGAATACTTTTAGTATCAAAAGGAAGAAGAATTTGGACAGTCTTTAGTGTCCTAGCCTCTTTCACTATCGATTTTTCATATGAAGTTTAGTTCCTTGGTATATACCTGTACCATAAGAAAGACTCAAGTTTGTGGTTAGAAAGGCTAGCATTTCGCACGTGTTGCAGGCTACTTAAATCAAGGTGAGAATATATACAAGCCAAGAAGAACCTCACCGGCATTTTCGTTGCCTGTGCGGTATATTCAGCACCGTCATGGCTAGAGTTAGTGAGGTAGATATGGCTCCTATGATAATCAGACAGGCTCACTACCTTACTCAAGTCTTTGCAGCTGTGAGGCTGTTTCTGTTACCTTGATTGATATAAATATTCAGATAACGCTGGTCTGGGCTGATAAATGGGAACCAGTTATTTTACATATAATAAACATGAAAAACCGGCCAAGTGCGAGTCGGACTCGGTACGAAGGGTTCCGTACAATTATCTATAAAAACGGAAAACACATCATGTTTGTTGTATGGGAGCCCCACTTAAATATTTATTTTTGCTGTATTTTCGTTATAGCGGCAACAGAAAAACATCATCTGTGAAAATTTCAATTGTTTAGCTATGGCGGTTCGTGAGATACGAGTAATAGGTTCCCCTTTTTACCTTTGGGTACGGAACCCAAAAAACAAATAATCCTTTCAAATGTTTTGTTCGATATATACAATTTTTACGTTCCAGTCATCGATACCTATTAAAATAGTACAAAACTTCACTCGCCGTTTTTTCTGTAAAAAAGTGTTTTTGTTAATGCCATATATATAAAAAGAAAAACCTAAGATAAATACAAAATTTGATTCAAGTCTTTAGAGCCGTTTCCGACATACATGATTTGCATAAATACAAAAATTACTCGTTCATTTTTTACTTTAAAATAATCGGAAAACTCTCATGTCAAGTTAATGTTTTCTTCATTATTCCACTGAAAACCATTAGACACAAAGGGCTTAAGTGTTATTGAAAGAAGGTGTAATATGGTTTAATTATGACAACGTTATCGAATCCTTTGAATAAATGGAGATACGGATGAGTAAGTAACAAAAAAATTTTATTGTACTAAGGTTTTACTGACTCATTAATTTGAAACACAACTCACTCGACATTAACAACAACGACTTATTAAAACTCGAACTCGAATTTATTATTATTATTTTCTATAGAAACGGCAAAAAACATGTCGGTAGTATGTGAGCCCCACTTAAATAATTATTTATTCTGTTTTTAGTGTTTGTTTTTAAAGCGACAACAGAATTACATGATCTGTGAAAATTTCAACTGTCTTGATACGGTTAATGAGATACAGCCTGTCACCAGTCGGACAGACAGACAGACAGCGAAATCTTTGTAATACCCTATTACCGTACCCTTTGGATAAACCCTAAAATGCCCTTCTTATTAAAGTTCTCTCTAGTATCACTAATACCATAAACTTCTTATTTAACATAATCTAGCATTGTCTATCTGTCCCAACTTTAAAATAAACATTTACTTAATGGCCCCTTAAGAAGTTATTTTTTTATTTCGAAATACTTTATACTTGAAAAGTTGTAAACAATAATAAAATTGTCTTGACGAATAGGCAAGCAACATTTATGAAAAAAATAAAAGATGTGAAAGATATTAGCAGAGATTTGTGTCTTTCTTTTTCGATTTATGAAGATTGTTAAATTAATTGGTATTGTAATACTATGTAAGTATAGTAAATAAAAAAGACCATTACAAATAACTGTAGATAATTAATTTATCCAAACATGGAGCAACATAAAAACAGTGTACATGTCGGCAGATGATTTGGCTTCAGGCTTCATCGTATTATACCCATATTAAATATAGCAAAGAAAATGTTTATTATTACTTAAAAAAAAACACAACAAATGTATACCGGTTGGAAACCGGTTTATTAAATCTGCGTATCATAAGGCTCAACTTTTCAGTTAAAGATGATGACAGGATAATTTTACCTCGCAAAGGTAAATGGTGTTTGAATAAATAACGACATTAACTTGGGACGTACAATTTCTCAGAGCAGTATCATGGCATTGAGAAATTTTAAAATTATATAACGTTGTATTATACTGTTATTATATCTGATTCCCATAACAGCGTCTTTAAAGTAGGGCACACATTTCGGATTCAATTGATCTGACTTAAACTTGATTTAAATAGGGTTGAAATCGTGGAACAAAGTTCAGGAATAATAATATAATATATCTGTTAAAATTAGAGTTGAAGCGAAAACATTAAAAGAAATGATTGAACATTTTCATTCATAAATGCATTGTTAAATATGAAAACTGTTAACATTCATCTTTACTCGAATTTACCGCTATAAAAATATTAATAACATAAAAGGCCACACATAATATAATATACATGAGTAAAATATATGTGCATTTATTACAATTAAGCTTCAATTGAAAACTAACCTTATTGTATTAATTCTCTTTGATAACTAAATATATAATTTTTCATAGAGAGTTATTAAAATTTTTATCAGAGAAATTCTCTATAGCTCAAACAAAAATTACAACTTACATATGGTATTTCCTACCATATATGAAACCATTCATGCTTTTTATGACCAATAGAAAATATACATCGAATATTAAGAAAGAATCTATAGTTATAAAGTTGCTTTATGAAATGCCTATTCTATGAAATTAATGAAATTAATAATACACTAAATACTATTTTCTAAATAAATTTTTACACTTTGTTATATTACATTCACTTAAAATGGATAAGACTTAAGTAAGGATTTCGGGTACTCGCAAATGTGACAAGCTTTTGTGTTGGTGAAATGTGGACTAAAAAAAATATTGATTAGACACGTGAATGAGATTTGATAGATGTGTCTTTAATGCCCTGAAGACCTCCAAGAGATATTTGAGCACACTGAAGGGTAAACAACGGATAACTTGCGAATTACGTAAGAATTTTTCTTCACTAACTAATTCATCGGATGAAAAACTGACCCAAATAAAGTGTTACGATCTTCGAAACACAGACGAAACACAGTCATTAAATAAAATAGAGGCCCATACGTACTATCTTTTACTGTCTACCGAAGCGAGAGAATCTGATTATATTCTTACATCTTGCTATTCGTATAGTGTTTATAAATTCCTTTCGCAATTTTCCAAATGGTTATGAGAGAGCAGGAGGCTAATGTTCGTAGTTCTCCCCAGGAAAGTTGCCACCGCCTGGGGCGAAGTCGCTCACAGCTGAAAAGCTTACCTGATCTCAATTCGAAAGGCATGATATCAAGCGCGCAAAGCGCAAAGCGCCCTCCCCTGCAGTGTGCCCCGGTCACAGGTCCCCCCCGCCCCGCGCCATTGCACGATCCATGCACTCACTCACAGCACACACAGCCTCGTCTCGAGCGCTTGACGCACAGGAAGTGTCAAATGTCACGCATCGGCATGCCGTACACGCGGCTGACGGCGTCACGTCAAAACCCGTGGGCGATGATGCTGGGCGACGCAGCGTCCGCAGCCGTGTCGCGGTCACTTCTGCCGCTCGGGCCGCGGCGCGCGCCGCCAGCGCCCCCCGTCGCCATGGCAACGCTCCCGGGCGATATCCGCCCCGACCTCTACGGAGAATAAAAACAAAAGTAGCGAATTAATGGCGTGCCGTGAACATTTTAACTACGGTTAATAAGTGCGTTACCTTCTAAGTGCAATGTCAAGATAAGCTAAGAAAACACCAAGCATTTTAAATCATGGTTGCAAACTACCTCGTCCTTGCTTGTCTTTAGTAATCTCAATGAACCGTCTCATCACAAAAAATATTACGCCAAATCAAGTAAAGTCTCCCAGCGATTTAATTTTTAACTAAATGATTCCCACTGATGCATCAAGTCTGATAAATCAATATTACATTCCCTTCAATTTGCATCTTTCGGAGTAAATTGGAATACTCTGTGCATAAAGTTACTTAAAATTCCGAAGAACAAAACAAACTAAAGTTCCTACTTTAAAACAAACTCCTGCCAATTTCTTAATGACATAATTATATTCAATGATTTCTTCCATTTTACATTTCACATTTCTTTACATTTCTTTGATGTTATTGCTGCAAGAAAACATTTATTTAAGTAAATCCTGTAAATATGGAAATTAATTATTATTGAACCAATTATCGTAGTTTATCGAATATGATCCCTTGCAATTAATGTTTCAGTTTAAAGTTTCGCAGACTCTCTTTAGAGCAATAACAAGTCTAGTAAACTGTAATTAAATTTTATGCAACGGCAACAAAGTTGACGTAATTGCTTTTTTTGCTAATTACTGAAATACAATAAAACATCGTATTTAATCCTAATCTGACTCAAGAAAAACCGATCAAAATTACTACACTATTTTTTTATTTTTTTCCGTTCATAAAACTAATGTTATCTTCATATGATATTTTAATTTAATAAATTTATACCAAAATCTAATACATAAAATTCTTGTGTCACGGTATTTTAACACAGTAATTGAACTCCTCCGCTCGACCGTCAAATTTTGTGTGCATATCGGCCAGGGTGGAGAATCGGACAACAGCTATTTTTCATCCCCCTAAATGTTAAGGTCCACCTGAAACATTTTTTTCTACCCTAAAAATTATTTACATGGCAAAACAACGTTTGCCGGGACAGCTAGTATAATATATGTTTATAAAAGGTTATGTGATAAATGGGTGATGATCATGCTTTGTAGCAGTCTTGAGTGGTCGTTGTCTAGCAGTGGACTAAAACAGGCTGAAAAGATGATGATGATGATGAAATTGAGGTGTAATAGCGCAGTATTGGATCTTACCTCTTTAGATGTGGCAGCGTTGATTTTAAACTCTTGAAAATTCTTCTTTTTTTTTTTAACCGACTTTAAAAGGAGCAGATTATCTACCTTGGTAAAGTACATTCCCATTTTGACTGAGAGCGGTGCTGAGACATTGAGCTTACAATCAATGTTCGCAGATTGCGATCAGAGTAAGTTAGGTGTTAAACAGAATGCCTTGCATATTCTTTTATTTCTAATTTTGTTCTCTCATTCGTCAGTGTCACTAAGAGTTTTTGTCAATTATACACAAAATTCGCTAAGTCATTTCAATGTGAAGCAACAATTTCATTCACATGTATGGAAAAGGCAGTGTGAGATTACGAACATTCTTGATGTTGGTTGATAATTCGTTTTTTTTACATTATGAACATCTTTTAATAAAGTGGGCCCCTCCGACCTCACTCACCAGACGAATCGCTAAAGAATGACACTTCCAGATCACGCTGTTCTTCTATGAGGCCGTGGTACTATCCGCAGTTAGTCTGTTCTGGTTATGTATTTATTTATTTATTTATTTATTTGTTTATTTATTTATAAAAGGTACACCAAAAACATGTTCAAGGTACAATAAAAGGTTAGAAGTACACATAATTAAATTATCATATGAACACATCAATAACAGGTGTATACATCATTCACGAATAGTAAATAGATACGTGCTGTACAAGAAACTAATATAGAAACTATAAAATTTAATAACTAATATAAAAAGGTAACATAAACTTATTGACATAAACTTATTAACAACTATTAAACATTTACATTAAGTATATTAAAGTAAGGTAAAGCTTTCGAGAAGACGCGGGTTCGAATCCTAAAACTTTCGAGATATGAATATGTGTACAAGAAAAATATTCTCAGTATTGATTCAGAGTACCCTCACCTTTCTGCTTGCAATTTAGCTCGGATCTACTTAGAATATTGAAGCCCGTTAAAAGTAACTGAAGCTAATATTAAAACTCATTACACTTTTTAATACGAAAGTTCTACGCGGGTTTGCATGAACTCCAATTACAGAGTGAGTACTTATTGAATTTTCAACGAAATTAAAGTCTGTCTAATAATAATTCCACATAAAAACATACAAGCCCGAATCAATGAGTAAGCATTGATCTGAACATCTTGATTGATTTGAAATAATGTATCAAATATATTCCTTATAAAACTTTTTGAAAGATCAAAAGCTCATGCAGCGTTGAAATTCGAGCGTCCGCTTAGCATTAATCATTTAGACCCTTCAGAGCCTTCTGATCGTCTATCAATCTCACTACTTCCTAGTTTCTGTTTTAGCCCTACTGATTAATGATGGGCCTTAAATAACTTTAAGTGCTCAAATTAATCGTCTTTTGTGCGAAGTAAATACTCCGCTATTTTCGAAAGATATGCAACCCTTGAATTTGAATAATTTTTTTTTACGTGACAAATGATCATCTGATGTTAAGTGAAAACCGCCGCCCGTGGACATCTCGAAGGCTTGAAGATTTTTTAAAAAAATTTAAAACTGGCTTGCACTTGACTGTCATCCCACCTGATGGTAAGTGGCGTTGCAGCCGTTGATGGTAATCGCGCTAGCTCAGTAGAAACCTATTCACTCTTGCCTTGAAGACGCCTACGTTGTATTCATTACATTCGGACGGAAAGACGGACGCTGGCAGGCTATTCCATTCCTTAGCTGCAGGGATGTTGAACTTTTAAATAATTGGGCACCGGTTACTTCACTCACCGGACGTAACGTGAAAATATAAGAGTTCCACTTCACGCTGTTCTTTTATTAGGTACTTCCCCGAACGCGGCAGCCCATGTAAAATTTCAACAATATGAAACAGCTCACATTTAGCTTTATGGAATTTTACTGACTGACTGATTCCTGGCAATTAACTGCCATTGGTGAGTCTGGAAACACCAATCCTTGTACCGGAGTTCATTTATATTGCAGATAATCCACAAAGTTGATGGCTAACGATATATCCGGACCGATACGACTCGGGGACCTTCAAAAAAGACCCTATTCCTAAATCTAAGGCACGCAACGCATTTTTATCTCCAGTGGTATTCCAAATGTCAATGGGAAGCTATGATCACTCACTATCACCCGTGACCCAATTGCTCGTTGTGTCATTTTACATAAAATTGCGAACACGAAGACATAGCATAAAAGGAGGTAGAATTCATGAAAGCTCTTCTGTTATATACTTGATTGTGGATTCCCATTCAATAATAACATTCTATTATTGCGTATAAACGTATATATTTCTTGATTTTACATGCCGCTCTGCTGAAAAATTAAAACATTATATGGGGATATTTTATAGAGTGATCAATTTAACTGTGATCCATATTTAATCACACATTTGTAAATTTATTAACAAAATATTATACATTATTAAAAACTGCTAGAACGTTTTATTTTACGTTAATTATCGCCCCCCCTAATCGCTAAATAAATGTAAGTAAAATAAAATTAAAATAAAAAACAACGAAAATCGGTAAATGATATCTGATCATGAAGCCCAAGAATGGTGCGGACTCATCAGGTCCGCTTGATTTATAATAATTTAGGAGGATTAAGGAGCGAGAGGCGAAAGACTAGACTACTAAAAAAAATCGCAATTCTTGCCACCCCCTAAATTTTGCCGCCTTATGCCACTATGAAATTCGCCACTGGCCATATCCCTCAATTATTGGGATGCGAAATCTGCGGACGATGTAGTTGAAATTGATGAGGGCTACCTTTTGCACTGCCGTCTGCCAGGAATGGAATGTCCATCCCATTCGGTATCCAATATCGGTACGACGTGAACGCGACCTAGACAATTAATCCAGTTTAGTAGATTTCTGTTTCGGCGTCACATCAGGATCTTGTGGCGACAAAAATATCGTAATGTACTCATCAGACCGATATCAAACCCTCTGCAAGAAGGTGCCCCGATTCCATTAGAGGTAGGCGTGGTCATTTTCGAGTACAGCCGAGTCGAGGCACCCAGTGCTTGTCCCGTACTATTTATTAACGTATAAAATCATATCCGACCGGAACACTATTAAGCCTATTTTTTTTTAAGGTCTATTTTATAAAAAAATATTTAATATATTTATAGCTACCATAAAAAATACGTTCACAAACGAAGAAATGATGTGCCAGAACACAAAGGAGCGGGCTGAGCCCATTTCCGACTGTAATAAACTGCAGCTGAATAAAACAGATTGTAATGGCTCCGGAGTTCGAAACAAACTATCCTTTGCGAGAGTGTCAACTTGAAACTCTAACAGTATAACTTCAAACAATGTAGCCTCTGGTGTACATATAAATAATATATGTGCAATCTGAAACGAAACTTGTAGCTGGACGCATGTAAGTAAACTTCAAAACTTAAAATTTATTATTATTTTTTTTCCTCCATCATGTCCACTCTTATTTCGGAAAATTACTAGAAAAGTAAATTGACAGCCACGAAAATTTGCTATGTTTTTATTTTATTTAATCTGAACTCGGGTTAGAACTTAAAGTTAACTGAAACAATTTATTATTTCTACAGCGCCTGGGTATAAACTCACCGCAATATTCATGTACAGAGCTTTCTGTAAAATAGGCACGTACAGAACTAAACAAAGCTTACATTTTTACGCTCAATTTATTCAGCAGAAAAATGGTGCATAAAATGAATTAATTACGTTTGTACATATTATGTTTTCCATAAAACTCTCTGTAGTTTTATCTACTTTTTTCCATGCACAGCTCGTTGTCATAAAAGCTGACCAATAATGTAATTTTTTATAGAGAT